TAGGGAAAGTAATTGCTGCTGGGATTACAATTATTTTTCTAGCTGACGAAGTTTGACTTTCTAATTAAGCACAGAGTCACAGGGAAGACAGGAGCATGAATAGTTTGGCTTACAAAGCGCAGAGCTGTGAAGCTGGTGATCAGGGTTAGTGTCTATCTTTTGCTCTTGCAGCCTTTGAGAGTGTTTTATGCTAAAATTCATGATTTTTTTTTTTCCAGGCTTGAACACTAAAATGATGTTCCTTAACACACACATGATGTGTGGTAAAAAAACAAAAACAGGATGAGACTAATAATAGGATGTCTAGCACATTTATGTTTTTCCTTACATCCTGTACAAGCAGTGCTGACTGCCAGGGGGCGCGTTTCATCACCTGCTTTACTGTAGCTATACAGAGAAAGGTGAGGCAACAGTGGGGGCATGATAAAATACATTTCCTGCATGTTTGTTCACATCCAAAGCTCTTATTTCATGGAGCCACTTATTCACTTCCTAATATCTGCTTTGTATTCTTGTCAGCCTGTCATGATGTGAGCCATATTGATTTTTATTAATTTGCCAGACTTCATTATCAACAGACTGTGGAAAAATACAGAAAATCAAAACTTTGCAATCATACATTTTGTGAAGAAAGACAGGAGGTGTCACCTAAACTGTACTTAAATGATTGGGCTGTATCGATCCCTCTGCCCAGGAGCATGAGGTGAACAGGAAGCAGCCTGAGCCGTGCCTCCAGAAACTGCAGTCACTGATAGTGTCCATAGATCGAGGAGCTGTGACTTTTCTAATTAGAGAGTTCGGAGAACTTAAACCCAGGTGGATTAGCTCATGCATAGCTCCAGGCTAGCCATTAACACCAAGCCAGCCTGGCAAACAAGAAAACAGAGAGACAAGAGGAGGAGAGCAAAGGACCAGGGAGGGGCTGAGCAAGTCAACCCTGGTGTGACTGTGCCCAGGTCAAAATAATTGATTTGACAAGAAAAATTACTAATATGGTATCTGTGATGTTTTTCTTGTAAATTTAAGAAGGCCCATTTTGTTTAGACTAAAGAGCATCCCAGAGGAGGTTTTCAATCAGGTAAGACCTTACCTTGTGATTTAACTTCCTGATAGTCTGGGATTTTATGGCAGCTCCATAAAAAAAAACTATAAAAAAGAAAACTTGAAAATGGTTTTTGAATTGCATTCAGAATATAGATAATCTGTATTCATTAATGTCTGAATGTATGATTTCACATGCTTACAATGTAACCACACTAATACTCTGATGTTCACGTATGCTGAAACATCTTTGGTAAGATGTCCATTTGATTGATCGTTTCCTTTCAGGAACACATGCCCTCCTTCACACTTTGCCAGCTAATAAACCCTTAAGATTCACACCTACACAAACGCATCAACATGTGCCCCACTACCACACATTCTTTCGCACACACAACATGCTCCCTACCCATTCGCCCGCACAACCTCAAGGGAGGCATAAGAAATAAATTCGACACTTCCGCTTACCCAAGAAGCGCCTTAAGGACAAAGAAATTTAATCTTGGATAAGCCTCCTGATAGAATCTCTGCATTAGCCCTCTGCTGCTGGTTCACAGCTATCCCATCAACCCTTACCTCCCACACCTTGGCCCAATTCCCTCACATCTCTCCTCCTATACACTGGCTATTTTTTTCACTCTCCTCTTCACTCCTCCTCCACCTCTCCTGCTGCCCCAGCACTTCTCTTCACTTTTCTTTCCTCTCCTTTGTCTTTAGTTACACTTTTTCCTCCAGTTCAGTACCACCTTTTTGTCCCTGCATCCCTCTGACTCTCCCTTGGCTCCCACCTCATGCCTCCACCACCCCTTGCAGTTCTTCTCACCAGCCTCCATCTCACCATCTATTCCCAGCTGTGGCACATACTGCATATATCTATATTTCCGTTCCTCTCCCTCGTCAGAACGCTTTAATACCATTGGTATTAAATGCTGGCACAACCTCTTCTGCATACTTAAGCAGGCAGAGATCCTTGTAAGGCTGTTAAAGTGCTTAATATTTTCAGCACGCCACTGACTTAAGCCCCTTAAGTGCTTTGGCAACACTTATTCCACGGTGGCACCAATGAAGCCCATTAAAAATTTGATTTGGATGAGAGAGAAAGGGGAGGAGAAAAAACAGGATGGGGAGATAGGGGATAAAATTTGCCATTACCTGTCTTCCTTCCACACACGATAAAAACAAACATGCCCATCAGGGGGTTGCCCATGCAGGGACCTTGCAGACACACAAAACACACTCACTCACCAGTCTTGCAGTGATTTGCAATGTGTCCTTCTTTTTGTCTGTAATTATGTCCTTGGTTGCTCCATAAAGCACTTTGTGATGACCCCATTTTGTTCAGAACATTGATAAATACGTTTAACTTTATTTGGGTTGATAATGGGGAACATGTTTCGAATTGAATGCAAAAAAAAGTTTTGTAAATTGCCTATGATGGATTAGAACAGATAGTTTATGACCAGTTGATTATGTACAGGTAGAGGTGCTATTATAATAGCAGAACTGTGTTGTCTTTTCCCTTTTAAAGGACAATGAAAGTCATAGACTCAGACTCTAGTGTAGTTAGCTTCCACTATTGGCTTGGTATTGTCAGTTTTATTGCCAGTAGCAGTAATGATAGTACATGTGGCAATGAGCTTGAACAAAGGAATTGCATTATGCATGATGTGTTGCTGCAAAATGTACTGACAGGTTGGACTAGCTGCTAGCAATGATTTCGGTTTCATCAGCATGAAAATATGGTGCAGATATATTTATTGAGCCAGGTTCACATCAGCTAAAATCATCACTGTCATAGTCACATTAATTTCTGCTCTATCCACATCTGCTTCGAATTACTGTCACACGCAAACATACAGCGTTCTTGTCAGCAGACAACCATGTGCATCCCTGCAGCCATAAAAACAGCTATTTAACATAAAGAGGCACTATGATGCCTCTGTGTGTGCCTGCATGGATAAATTAATGGGTAGTAGATAGTGAAAGGGCCAAATGTACACTCTGCTTCAGTCAACACTGGACAGTCAAGCACATTCAGACACACGCCGCCACTGTTTGTTGACCTGAAAGACCACCATTGTCATTGCTTCCATGCACACACACACACACACACACACATCCCTAACCTTCACAAAATAGTATGCAAAATATGCAGACACTGATCCCACACACACATTCTAAACAAGGGGAGGGATGGCAGGGTTATATAAACAAGTGGAAACCAGAAACCAGATAGACGGATGGATGAGATCAACAATGATACTACGCCTGGATTATAGCAGTTTTCCAGGATCAGCAGAAAAGAAGTGAAGCCAGTAGAGGACAAACTTGTGGGAACTAACTAGCTGCTATGGACTGACTGGAGGATTAAAGGAACAGAGGAGAAAAAGAGGGCAGAGCAGATAAACTAAACACAATTTGACGCGATCAATTTGAACAAGTGAACAGACTTTGTGTAACGTCTGTATGCTGCCAGTCCTCGGAGCCGCCCGACCCGAGCTGCTGGTGCACACCAACAGAGTAATTTTCTCAGCGTCAGCCAGTTGACCAGTGAAGTCAGCTCTGTAGGGAAGATTGGCGATGATCCTCTTTCAGCTTTGCCAGAAGCATCAGGGCTGTCGCCATTAGATCTCATTGTGTTTGCAGTGGCACAGTGAGTGAGAGAGCAAGCAGTGTGTAGTAATCTAAGGATGACACGCACACTTTATTCCGTAAGCTAGTGCTCAGTGAGGTGTGTGGTGCAGCTCGTCACGCGTCGTCTCTGAACTACAAACGCACACACACACACACACACACACACCATCACACTTATTAAACACACTTACTTACACATACAAGCACAGTAGAGCCACACAGTCCTAGATATCTAGGAGGCGTTTGGTCCTGACAGTCATTGGAATCTTGTCCAGACCTTAAACACAGCAGGCTCTCAGATCAGTGTCCATCTGGAATGCACCCAGGCACTGACTGCACCCAGTGGAGCATATTGGAAAGGAAGAACTAGGCAGGTCGATGCTACACGATTATACTGTCTAATAGGCTGTGATTACACTGAGTAGTCTAAAATTACTATGTAAAATCACCATCCATTTACGCGACAGCGTATACATGATAGCGTACCAAAAGAGTTCTAGCATTCAAGAAAATAATGGTAAGATACCTTGTGAGAATGATGTGAACCAAAAAGTGTACAGTAATATGTGAAACTAAAGCGTCTTAGTGCGGCTTGTGCAGCCACTTTTAAGTTGGTTATTCTACACAAAGCAAGCACTTCTACTCTCCGTCTTTATAGTGCAGCACTGAAGCTCAGTGAAGTTTGTTTAACCTCAGCTATTTCCAGATGAGTTGCATTAAGACAATATCTCAGTCTCTCCAGAGACCTGGCCAGTTCATTTATAACTCAAAGGAACATTGACTTCTGCCCACTGATTTGTGGGTGAGAAGTGCTGAAAGCCTTGACTCATTAAAGTACGATCTGTTCAAGAATGAACACGGTTGCCCTAGATTGCTCTGTCCTTGAGGGCACAGCAATGTAGGTAGCTCTATTTAAAAAGTTAGCATTCAGTCAACATCAGTAGAATTAAACTTGACTTGCTTTGTAAGACAGTTCCCCAGCCTGTATCTGACTGAAATATAGTAATATTGATGTTTTCTGGTCCTTGGAGCAGTGTGGTTTGACCTACAGAAGACAAGCAGTTTGTTGTTGTGGTTAATTGTGTGGCTGATTGTTAGGGCGCCTGCTATTCAGAACAAGCTTTGCAAGTTTGACACTGCAGTGTACAGCTGGTGATCAGCTAATTAAGTTGTCCCTCGTTTGGTTAATTGCCTAGCTGCCACTGCTGAATACCATTGCTGGTACAGAGAATAGTTTTGCATATCTGCTTTGGTCACTCTTGGTAGTGGTTTGTCTACTTATTGATCTGATGGTCTTGAACGTTGGTTTCAGGAGGCTCCGAGCACTGTAGAAAAAAAGCCAGCCTAGCAGTGTTTGCTTTATTGGCATTTTGGTTAGATGGGCCTGAGCTTGTGTATTGCTGTTGTAGCAGCAACACTTCTGCACCGTATGGATTTAAGGCGATGCATGTCATGAGTTCTTTCTAAGCAGCATAAGGTGCTAAAGTCAACAGTGGAAGTTTTTATTGGCCTAAGCTCATTTCTATGATATACAGTTGCAGACCAAAGTTCTTTGTATTGTGTGCAGGCCCTGGCTACATCTCAGTCCCTGAAGACATTGCAGCTAAAGCAGTTGCATCTGTTGTGGTGCCGTGTAGCTCAGAAGAGTCCTTTCTTTAGATGGTTTCCTCATACAACAACTTGTGTCTGACTACACTAAAGTAAAGCTGGGCAGTTAGTGTGTGCACGTGTCTGCAGCATTGCAGAGAACAAACCAGAGTGTGTGTGTGTGTGTGTGTGGACAAGTTTGCCTGTAACACTGCAGACAGGGTCACAGAGGAGCCATTGATCAAACGTGCACATCCATACACATGTTCACACATACGCAGACTGTTTCTCAATACACAATGAGGCCTGTCCAGAGCTCTCTCCTCTGCCGCTGCCACCTCCTCCGTGCCCCCTTCTCCTTGGCCCTGCGCAGCCTGGTCCTGGTCCTGCTTTGCATCACTCGTAAGTCATGCGTGGATGAACACACACATGTACATACACAAACATACCAATTACAGGACACGAGCAGAACCGAATAGAATGTTCACACACTTGTTGCAGGTTATAGTCAGGATGTGACAATTTATTGTAAGTACAGCACAGGCTCTTTGATTTTTAATATGGTTCAAAAAATTGAGTCCAGTACTGCAAAGCACACAGTTGTGAATATGTTACTAATTGCTGTGAAGTGATACAGAATGAGATCCATTGCAGTACCCAGTGCATGACCAAGAGAGGAATAGCTGGTGATGGAATGGTCATGAAATGAGATTTGTTCACAATGCGGGTAATTAAGTTACAATTAGCAATTAAGATTAAGAAAAGAGAGAATATGAAGACATGAGCGTATGCCCAGGGGGTGAAAGAACTGGGCAATGAAAAACCAGACAGTGGAAGAAAAGAGAAGGGGAAGGCTGGACCAAAGGGCTAAAAAGGACAGTCAAGAATGAAAACAGAGAAAAGAAAGAGAGATACTGTATAAATGTGGCTGAAGCCTTTTTCACAGCTTTCCTCTGAAGAACCTAATAAAAGAAAGTTGGACCCCAGAGTGGGAGAAATCTAGCGAGCCAAATGGAGAGGTTGTCAAATAGAAAGAGAATGGGAGAAAAGGTTCAGTGCAAGAGACCAGTAGAGTAGAGAAAGAAAGAGACTGACGCAGGGTAATAACAACCAAGCCAGAAAGAAATTTGTACACTATACTGTATGTGGAGGAGAGAGCGAGCAGCGAGACAGAGATGGAGAGCAATGCAGACTGTGTGTGCGTGTGTGTAAGAAAGACAGAGATGGAGAAGAGGGGTACAAAAATGAAATAAGAAACAAGGCCTCAAAAATAGCTCCATGAGGTCAAGACTTGAAACCAAGAGTCATTAGGCAGAGATGGCGAGAAACAGCAGTGCACGAAGTGGAGTGGACTCAGTGGCAAAGTTTCTAGGTGCTATTAATAACTTGTGTCTTTATTATTGTGCATTTAATACAGGGAGATATATTTTCCCCTAAAATCTCAATTCAGTGCAGGTTTTCTTTTGTTCCTTTCTTCTTTCTTTCTTTCTTTGCATATTAGATCAACACAAGGACATTGTGTTCTGTGGGATGTTGTGGGGGATGATGGGTGGGGGTGACAATAGGAGAGTGAGGGATACTGAGAAAGTAAGGGTTTGTGTCTTGGCAGGCAGCATGCTTATGTAATTCATGCCTGTTGGGCAGTTTTGTGTTGGTCCTTGAATGTGCACATGCATATACTCTCACATACACATTTAACACTATTTCACAAAAGCACACAAAGATACTTTTGCTTTTAAATGCATGCACACACCCAGACACATTCAACAGCATTTCAAATGCAACAAACGTATACACACCCAAGGG